CCCCACATTTGGGGGAGGGAACCCTGAAGCAATAGAAACACACGAGTGACGAAAATGCATGAACTGGCAAAATCCAGTTGGAAAGTGGATCGAAAGTGGATCAATTAGTTTGTGTGATCACGGCCCTAGGTACTATTCTGAGGTTGGCAGGTCCCTGCTGGCCACCACCAGGGGATGAGGGGGGTAGGGTTGCCAAATCCAGGTTCGGAAGTTCCTGGAGATTTGGAGTTGGCGCCTAGGGACCTCAGAGGTGTAAAATGCCAGAGTCCACAGTTCAAAGCATCCATTTTCTCCAGAAATGATCTCTGTAGTCTGGAGGTGAGCTGTAAATCCGGGGATTGCCAGCTCCCACCTGGAGGCTGGCATCCTACCACCATGCCACATTGGCAACACATCGGAGTGAAAGAGTTTGCAGATCAGAATGTTATTGTGTATATAGCCAAAGGCTGTCACAATACAGAATTAGGATATATATAATTCTAATAATACATAGATAAAAAAGAATTTTCACACAAATAGATATGGACCAGCTATTAATGTTAGAAACAATAAAACTGTAAAAAAATAAGTCCGGTTAGTCATATAAAGGTTAATTTTCTGATGCTGCAGTCTTAGCCCTGATTTTTGTGGCGGCCAAGGCGAAGAGAGACACTCTGTGGGTGCATTCAGACAGACCGTTTAGTCTGCTTTTGGCACGCTTCAGTAACGGATTTTATATCCACGTTCACACACCCAACATCTGCGCACTGTCCCCAGCCGTCACTTTCCGACTCAAACCCCCTTTAAAATGGGAGTATTTTGTTACCAGGTCCCAAAGTGGTGTTTTCCTGATTCTCTGGTTCTAGCCGCACTTTTCTGACATCTGATCGCTCCTGCGGTGTCGAGCCACTTCTGGTTTAAACCCCCTCCCTGCTTGAAAGCTGCCCAAGGCTTCTGCTTTTCGCCCGCCATTTTTTTAATGCGTTGGCGGTGCGTGCATAGGCGGAGCTCCGCCACCGCGTTTAGAAAACCAACATTTAAATGGTCACTTGTTTTAGCGTTTAGATGAGTTCGGGATCTCATGGAGGCCATTTTTGGGTCAAACATTTAAAGGGAAGTCTTTTGTTGGAGGGGTTGGATTGATTCGCCCTGGTGGTTCTACGCATGTGCCATGATAGTTTCTCCTTTTACGGAGGGGCGCCTATGTGCACGTGCAAACTGAGGAAAAACTTAAAAAACCACTGACACATGCTCCCGCACGTCAGTAGTGTAGATGCCGGGGAGCGACGTGACTGTGCGGTGAGGCAGAATAAGGGAGGTAAGTGTGATCACGATTATCCAGATCAAATATAATTCGGTTAGAACTGGAGCAGTTTAACCTGCTCTCAGCACGCCATCTGACCGCACCCTATAACTGAGGACTGGATCAGTGTCAGATAATAAGAAGACCAGCTTGTCAATATCAGAGGAAAATTTTGGTCCTGCTAGCAGATTATCAAGAAATTTAGATCTAACTGTTGTATACATAGGACAAAATAATATAGTGAAGAATGTCCTCTGGGACTGAGGCACCGCATATACAAGAATGTAAAGCCAGTGGTATTTGAGAATATCTCCCTGTGAGTAGAGCCTGTGAGCAGAGAGTAAAGCATTGTCTGAAAGCATAAGGAAGTGAGTGCCTTTCTGAGATTTTGAGATGTAATATTCACTAAATAAGGAGATGCATCATCTCTTTTGAATAGCTTAAACCAAAAGGAGAATTTAGACCTAGAGGTTGTAAAACTGTCCAATAAAGCGTCACATCTATAGATCCAGTTTTGTAAATTGGTGCCAATATTGAGAATCCCAACAAATCTGGAATAGAATAGTAGGCAAGTATGTTGTTGTAACATGTAGACCGGGATGTATCTCTACGTGACATTAATTGAAAGAGTGAAAGAGTTGCACACGTCCTCAGGGGGTACTTGGGGACTACAGTTCATCATGGCACATCCAACCATATTGTCCCTGCAAGCAGCATGGAAACTTGCATTGATTTACAACATGGACAAAACAGCAACTGTGTTTATCCACTGGCAGGGAAGGCAGAGATACCTAGCGCACCTCCTCAGCGATGCTTCCATCTTGATTTTTGTGACTGTATTGTTGGTGTGTCAGAAATAACACAAAGTAATGTCACTGAGTTCATTGTTCACGATTGCCTCACGGATCTAAAGGTAATGTCCGGACACAAACATCTGGGAAATGTCCCTCTTCTGTGGGCATCCCGTTTTCCTGCGCTTTGGAGCCGTACTTAAAAGATAGGACTTTAAATCTGGGGTTTTTGGTTACCTGCGAGACAACTGCAGACTCTCACCCGTCTGATCGTTCCACCAGCGCGCGATCCTCCCGTCGGGGTGGTCTGGCATCAGACCATCACGAGCGGGCGCCATTTAAAAAAATCTCTACACATGCGCGGATCAACAAGGATGTACTGTCACATCTATGCGCAAATTTAAAAAAACCCACGTGTGCCTCCTTCAACAAGGACGCGCTGTGATACCTATGCACATGCGCAAAAAGGTTTTTTTTTAAAAAAAACACCCCACCACACATCCCTCCTTCAGTGGACACCATCTAGACAATCCACAAGGGAGGCAGCGTGGTAAGGCGATTCACCAGGGGGATGTCTGGCCGTGCTACGATCGGGATAAAATTCAAGATGGCATAATGACGACGGGATTAGCTGCCCATCTGAACTAAGACATTTGCTCGCTGCGCTTTTGGGGGGCACATTTAGGGCCTGCCAGGCACCCTTCATCCAGGACGCCTATATCTGAAATAAATGAAATTAAATTTATGACACGTCTTTCACTGACCAACAGGCCCGCCAGGTAAGGCAACAGGGAATCCGGTGAGATCCCAGCACCTTAGAGACCAACAAAAATTTCGGCCTACAAGCTCTCCAGAGCTCCTTTCCTCAGACGCTAGTCCGACACTCCAAAAGTGCCACGTAATTACTGAAAAGGCCCTCTGCGTATACTCAGGAGCTCTCTTCTTTCACTTAACTGCCACACGCATCTCTCCTACCCCCCCGGGAGAAAAAAATAGGCCCTTATTTCCGCTTTCACTGAGATTCCCTCACAAAATGAGGCCACCGCTGACCCGACCCGACCCCTACTTCTTTCCCGCGCGCCAATTTCTTTCCCCCTCAGCACGTCTTTCCCTCGCGGGCGCGCGAGGGTGAGCCGCGAGAAAGGAGGACGAGAAACTCTCCGGCGGCGGCGATACGCGCTCCCCGCCCCCCCCTCCCGTGCGCGCGCTTGCACCTGAGCCTCGGACGCCCAGCCAATCCCGAGCGACCTCCCTCTCTCCCACGCGCGCGCGCGCGCGCCCTCCCCTTCTTGAAGGGGCTCGGGAAAAAAGCCAACCCGTCCCTGCCTCGGCCGCGCCCTCCTCCTCCTCCGGACCTATCGAGAACGGGCTCCCGGGCGCGCGCCGCGGCGCTCAGCCTGCGCCAGCCAATCAGGGGGCGTCCGGAGCGGGGGCCCGTGCGCGAGCGGCCGAGCGCCAGCCACGCTCGCCCTCCCTCCCTCGTTCCCCTTTTCCTCGGGGGCTCCGCACTCGGACTAGGCCTCGCAGCCTCGGCCTGGCGTAGCGGGTCGAGCCGGGCGATGACGACGAGGGCGGCGACGGTGCTGCTGCGGTTGGCGAGGCGGGGCCCTCGCTAGGCCAGAGGAGGAAGAGGCCGCCGCCGTCCCTGCCGCCGCCGCCATGCCGGCCAAAAGGAAGCTGGTGCCGCCGGCCCTCAACATCACCCCGACCATCGCCGAGGGACCCACCCCCACGGGCGGGGAGGGCGACGGCTCTGGTAGCGGTCGGTGGAGTGGGGCGTCTCTTGCACACAATCATCGTGGGCACTGCTCCCTCTAAGCTGTGGAGTCTCGTGAGCAAAAATTCTACTTTGTGAGCCACTGGCAATAAAGTGGTGAGCGAGCGATTGGGCTGCTGCATAAATGAGTTTGCTCGGGAGCCCTCCTTCCTGAGCAGAGACAAAAATCTGTGAGCCGGAGGCTAAAAGACTGTGAGCTAGCTCACACTAATTCAGCTTAGAGGGAACACTCATCAAGACCAACACTCCCTCTAAGCTGTGGAGGCCTGTGAGCAAAAATTCTACTTTGTGAGCCACTGGCAATAAAGTGGTGAGCGAGCAATTGGGCTACTGCATAAATTAGTTTGCTCTGGAGCCCTCCTTCCTGAGCGGAGACAGAAATCTGTGAGCCGGAGGCTAAAAGACTGTGAGCTAGCTCACACTAATTCAGCTTAGAGGGAACACTGGTCATCAAGACCAATGCTCCCTCTAAGCTTGGGGTCTTGTGAGCAAAAATTCTTCTCTGTGAGCCACTGGCAATAAAGTGGTGAGCAAGCGATTGGGCTGCTGCAGAAATTAGTTTGCTCTGGAGCCCTCCTTCCTGAGCGGAGACAGAAATCTGTGAGCCGGAGGCTAAAAGACTGTGAGCTAGCTCACACTAACTCAGCTTAGAGGGGACACTGATCGTGGGTGTTGTTATCAGTGTCCGAGCTGTACCGCTGTGATCAACAGCAATTGGATATTGATTATACACAATACGAATGCTTCTTATTAATATCCATATAATTTGAGTTCCTTTTATACATATTGTTATTGCTGATGATGCTAGTAGGGGATTTGCATTGATCTGTCCTCTCGTTCGTTTTAATATTGGTTTTGGTGATCCGTAATGAATAATGTTGATAATTGGCTGTGTATGTATGTTACTGATGTTCATGTTGTTATTACTGTTGGTAATATCGATCTTGCTCTTCATATTGCCAATTGGGAATGGGGCATTTGTGTGGGGGGGTGCTATTAGAAGGGGGGGAAGAGAGCTGTCAGAATTAATGTTATCGTGGAAAGCAGCAGCTACGAATAATGATTCCAGAGGTGTTGCCTTGTAAGTCTTTTAGAGTAAAAATAAGTAGGAGTCTTGTGACCAGTGTTCTCTCTAAGCTGACTTAGTGTGAGCTAGCTCACAGTTTTTTAGTCTCCAGCTCACAGATTTTTGTCTGAACTCAGGAAGTATGTGGCTCCAGAGCAAACTAATTTATGCAGCAGCCAAATCACTCACTCACAACTTTATTGCCAGTAGCTCATAAAGGAGAATTTTTGCTCCCAAGACTCCACAGCTTAGAGGGAGCATTGCTTGTGACATCTTGAAGACTAACAACATTTTATTCTAGCATTAGCTTTTGTGAGCTAGAGACCAGTCCTTCATATGCAGTGAGCCTTGCATCTGACGGTGAGCTATGCACCCCCAAATGTATTTACTTCGTTTGTGTTTCATTCTGTTTGTTGAGGGAGTGAAATTTGTTTGCATTGTTCTCCCCTCCGCTTTATCCTCCTAACAGCCCTGTGAGCTTGAGAGAAAATGACTGGGCCCCAAATCGCCTAGTAAGCTTCCATGACAGATTACCTGGCTCTCCCAGATCTTAGTATGCCACTCGGCCTACTGCATCATGCTGAGGTTCTGCGGGAATTAAAATTATTAGTCTTCAGGAAACCATGGAATTTTATTTATATCCGTGTTCTTTGTGATACTGGGATTGTCACACTGCTGTTAATAAATGTTTGGATATTTGAGGATTCTGGAAGAAGGAAAACGGTGGAAATAATGAACCTAAGGCTGAGAGGATGCTCCTGATGATGAAGGCAGATGGGGGAGGGATTAGGCATTTTGGAGGACGAGATTGATCCATGTATGGAATGGAGGGAGAGAGGTGTGTGGTGGGGATGGGTTATAATAGACTCTTAAAAGAAGAGGTATGTACGTATAAGGAATTTGGAGAAAGAGAGTTTAAAGAAAATATTTATCAGTATTCATTTTAGAATTATATTTGTTTATTTTGTTTAAAACATTTTATGCCATCTTTCCACCCAATTAGGGTTCCCATAATTGTGTTTCCATTATTATAAATGTTATTAGTCATTATGTAGTATTTTGTATTAAGGGTGTGAAGAAAAGTAAGGGATGGATGCTTCATATTGGGGGGGATATGAGGTTGCATCTAGACACTTAAAGGGGGAATGGGGTATAGATTCACAGGTGGAGTGAATGGGGTACAGAAATAAGTTTTAATGATTTCCAAATTATTTTTTATTGTGAATGAGTATTACAGGTGCTGTTTGCTGTGGTCAGTATCATTAATGCTGTTTAGGGTGGGTGTTGATTGCTACTGGAGGGAGGTAGAGAGGGAAGGCTATGGGGACAGAACCCTGTCAGCGCAGGGAGGGGATTAGTTAAAATCAGCACATGGAATAGGAGTGAAAACCTGAGTAAGTTTACCAGTGAATGAATGTTGGGTTGGAAGTAATGGGGAGATAAAGGTCTCCTCTTCAGGGTAGAGCATTTTCTAAAGTCTATATATGGGTTTGAGGGAGGGAGGCAGGAAACTGACAGCTTGGTGGAGGGTGTGCGTGACAAAGTGTACTTTTGAGGAACAGCGAAGACTGGGAGACAGCTGTTAATGGAATGAAATAGACGTCTCTGGAGGGGGGGGGGGTGCATTAGACAGCCAAAACCCATTATGGACTTGGGAGGCTGCCTGAGGAGATTTGTACGAAAGGGGTAGGGGGAACTGTGGGAGCCTTAGGAAGAGGGGCTGGGGCTAAGTGAGAGGTGGGCATGGGGAAGAGAAGGAAGCTAACAACTTGGGGTGGGTGATGTTGAGGTGGTGAAGAGCAAGTGTACAGAGGCATTTCTTTATTTGCTTAATTCATAGTTCACCTTTCTCGCTGACACGCAAGGCAAATTGCAGAATAAAAACCGTACGGCATAAGACCTCCAGTCAGTGATGCAGTAGGTCTAGGATTACAGAGCGGGGACAGGGGTGTATGAATAGAAACCCACAAGGCATCAAGGGAGGTGTCAAGGGAAGATCTGAATGAGGACTGGGAAGCGAGGAGCCCTGGTGTGTGCTGTAGCTTGGAGCTTTCAGTCCATCTCCTCCATTCCTCTTCCTCTGTACCTTTTCTGAGGGGGATTAATAATTTGAATGCTTGTGTTGGCTTTCCAACCTATGAGAGCTCCCATGAAAGTTTGTGATTTTATAAGATAAAAATGCTGCATTAAAAATAAAGGCACACAGGCGGCGGCAGTAACAAAAATAGCACCTGGAAATTAGCGGCGGTAAGAGCGATGGGATAAAAATTCTCAGCCACCGCCCTTTGCTCTACAAAATGAAATAGTACAGGGTGATGGCAAATGCCCTCAAGTCTCAGAGGACTCATGGCAGCCTCATAGGGTTTTCAGGCCAAGAGATATTCGGAGGTAGTTTGCCATTGCCTTTCCCTCCATAGCATCCCCGAACGTCTTTGGTGGCATCCCATCCAAATATTGACCAGGGCTGACCCTGCACAGCTTCCAAGATCGAGCTAGCCTGGGCCGCTCAGTTCAGGGCTGAAATGGCCCATAATGCCCTTCTTAAGAATGGATGGGAAGTAGACTAACTTAGCAATGGAGTCCCACAGATCAGTTGCTGTGACAGACACAATCCTGCTTATGTTTAAAGGTTTAAGGGATTTATAAAAGTCTTGTGCTTTCTACCTCCCACATTTTAACATGGGTTTAATTTCTGAAATGAGTGGTGTTGGAAGTACATCAGAAGCAGTGGATAGACGGCCATTTGCAAGGATCCTTGTTTGGCCCTGGAGAGCATTGACAGGAGTGAGTAGGGAGCGCAAGGAGATTGTGAGCTTGAGGAAAGGTGGATGTGCAAAGCATTATATGACTGAAGAGAGCAGGGGTTAGGAGAATGTCTGGAAATTTTGAAGGCAGGGGCTGAATTTTAGGAAGAAATTGAAATATATGTGGTAGTATCCTACAAACCTACGCTGTTTTTACTGATTTAACAACATACAATGCACCATTTATAACCTAGCATATAAAATTGTACTGTATGGTATATTTATGGAATTTAGAAGTATAAATGTGTCATAGAGAATGAAGGAAAATTGCAAATCTGCCCGGGACTCCAGAGTTGCAGTCTGCTGTTGCCTGACATACATTAGCACATGTATCTTAATTTTTGCTATCTGAGAGGTAGGGAAAAATAAGCTGAAGGTAGTAAATAAGCTCTGCAGTAAACAAAAGAGAATGTATTATTATTTGGACCTAAATATTCAGATATAGTCACAATGGGTAGGACTACCAGCATATTTGGATATTGAACTTTATAACATTGAAAACAATTAACTCTTTTATAATGTGTTATCACACACATTGTAGGATATTAATTGTTGGCAAAATTATTTACAGTCAACCAATGTAAAATCTTGAAAATGTTGTGTATGTTTATGATATACATATGAATTATGTAATACTGTGGATTTCCTTAAGTAAAAATCTTCTTACTACATATGTTGAGTTAAATCTTGTCCTTCATTTCACTCATTTCCAAAGAGGGGGAAAAATGACTTTTTGTATTGTACCCCATAGGAACAATAAATTTCCATAGGAATTTTTTTTTAAATGTCCTCAGTCTTTTTCAGCTTGTATAATTTGAGTGAGAAACCGTAAATCCGGGAAAGAAGTAACAGGAGGCAAGGGATGGAATGACGGATCCTAAAAGCTTCATGAGGAACCAGGGAGGAAGTTGAACACTAGGAAAGGTTCTGTGAGCTTGTGAGGCTGGCAATCTAATGGGAGCAAGCGTGAAGAAAGAACCTTGGAAGTGGTGCTGGATGTTTTTAAGATATTGTTCTGGAGGGAATCAGATGTGGGTCTGGAGTCTGCCTCTGGAAGAGGATAAAATCTTTATTTTTATTTATTTATTTGATTTATATACCGCCCTCCCCGGGAGTGCGCTCAGGGTGGTTTACATCTTGGAGGATTAATGCACACCAGGAGTCCAAAGGGAAATCCAGGAAGCTGAGGGCTGTTTGTCGGTAGGGTGTATACCCTAGAAACAGTGAGAGTAACCTAGCAACACGTTTTGATCCTTCATGGGACTGCAAGGAGAGGGTCTGTAGCTTCTGTTCTCAGAGGTGGGGGTTGATGATACTTGTCTCTTCTTGTTGACCTCTGATAAGCATACCCATTAAACACAGGCTGCCTCTGTCTCACACCTGGCTCAAAGATACTTCCAATTCCTAGAAGCCAGCATGGGATAGTTGAGAGCCAAACTTGTACAGGACAGAAGTGCGTTGACAGAAACAAGAAGGGACAGAGCGGGGATCCATGCAAGCCCAATAGTTCTTTCACCTGTTTTCCTTCAGGGCGCATCTCGTTGACCTCCAAAAGAAACTAGAAGAGCTGGAGCTGGATGAGCAACAGAAGAAGCGGCTGGAAGCCTTTCTCACTCAGAAAGCCAAAGTCGGAGAGCTGAAAGATGATGACTTTGAGAGGATTTCGGAGTTGGGAGCCGGCAATGGCGGGGTGGTCACCAAAGTACAACACAAACCCTCAGGGCTAATCATGGCACGGAAGGTGAGGCGGGGGAGAATGGAGAATTCTCCTCTTACAAATGAAATCGATGCTCTGGGGTGCCAGCGGCCAGTACAGTAAGCCTGCAAATCCACCAGTGCCCTGTGTCATTTGTGCAACGGTGTGGCGGAATCCTGTGGCACCTTGGGGGCAATTATGTTTTGCTAGGGTCCTAGAGTTTTTCCATTCAAGCAGAACAAATGTTTTACAGACGCTTACATGGCAGAAACCCTATTGGCTTTTAAGGTGCCGTGCTGTCATTAGGGCGCAGGAAACTCTCATGGCTAATGGGGAATGTCGTTTGTTTAAATTTGCTGTGTAATGTAGAAGAGGGCCAGGCAGGACTTTCAGTATTTCTTTTTTTATTATTACTTTGGTGAGTATTTTGTGTGTATGCCTGGGAGTCATAGTTTGACTTCTGGTGACCCCTAGTGGGTCTTGGATGTTTTCAGAGATGTGGCTTACTATTACCTGCCTCTGCATCCTAGCCCAGGTATTCCTTGGAGGTCTCCCTTCCAAGTACTTGCCAGGGTCAGCTCTGCTTAGCTTCTAAAATCGAATGAGATCGGGCTTGCCTGGGCTATCCAGGTCAGGGCAGGACTTTCAGTATTTCAGGCTCCCTGGAAGCTCACCTCAAAATGCAAGTTGAAACCACTATGGTGGGCCAAACAAAATGGTGTGGCAGCATGCTTATGGTTGGCCTGTGTGTCAAGGGTTACCTCCCTCTGCTCTAATGTTTGTTCGTTTGTTTGGGGCATTCTGCAGTTTAACTGCCACCATGCTGCCTACTTTGCAGTACACAGAAATCAAGATTGCATCCAGAAAGTCTTACATTCCTACGTTAATACTTATGTGAGATGATTGCAGCTCAGGCTTTTCTCTGGTCTGCCACTCCCCCCCCGAATTGTACAACTACCTCTGTTGCTTAGCAAGGAGACTTTGGGCAGACTTTCCCCAGAACTGCAGTGCTGTGATGTGAAAAGTCACAGTTGCTGCAGTCTGCTCTTCTATGGTACTAGTAAAGGTACACTAACCTTCAGTGGGACCTGGTGACTTTACACAGAGGCTGCCTAGACCCCCAAGGTAGAAATTATTCTTCATGCTTGTGTAACTTGTGCTTGTCTGAGACTCAAGTGTGATATATAAGTACTGTTAATACAGATGACACATGTGAGAAACAAGCACCGTGATGCGTGCTTAAAATGTTTCCCACCTATCACTTGTGCCCTTCTAGTCTAGCCTCTATAAATGGTGGCAATTGGAAGGAAGAAGAGAGCAAGGCCTGCCAGGGGCACACCCGTCCTGCCTTTCTCCTGCTTCTCTTGTTAACTTCTCTGAGAACAGAGGTGGCAGGTTGGGCGTTTCCCTTCCTTTGGGGAGATGGAGTGGGGTTAGGGTCTGTTTTGCATGGAGCACCCAAAGCGTACCTGACTGAGGTCATGCCTTGGACGTCTCCTTGAGAACTCTCCAGTGAACAGCATTCTGAGGCCTCCCCTCTGAGCTTATTCCATTGTGAGGCATCAGGACATCTCTGTTGAGAACTCATTAAAGCGAGAAAGGAATATGAGAGTTTCCTGGGCCGATGCCCTAGCCCAGAACATGGGGCTGTATCTCTGTGGTAGAGAGGAGGACAATAAGAGATTGGACTTATGCCCCCCCCTTCACTACCCAAAGGAGTCTCAGGGTGGCTTACAATCTCTTTTCCCTTCCCCTCCCCACAACAGACACCCTGTGAGGTAAGTGGGGCTGAGAGAGCTCTCTCGAGAACAGCTCTGAGAGAATTTGTGACTGACCCAATATTACGCCAGCAGCTGCATGTGGAGGAGTGGGGGATCAAACCCGGTTCTCCCAGATTAGAGTCCGCACTCCTGACTACTACACCAAACTGGCTCTCTTGAATGGAGGTCTTGAATGGAGATTATAATTTGCCATAGTCAGGTTCTAAATTGCAAGGCCCCTGCAGTTAACCTGCAGGGACATACAGCATTTTTCAGCACTGTGTTTCCTTCAGCTGTCATGTAGGGGATGGAGAGCTCAAGAGTGCTTTTTGCCAGTGTTAAAGCATTCTTCTGCAGCATGAACTTGGTGGGAAACTACCAGGTCCTGAGGGCTTTCAAGAGTGCGTAGGCTATTATTCCCCCCCACCTTTCGTGTGACATCTTTAATATTATGAGATCTAAGGTGACAGGCACACACATCAAACAAGAAACATCTCAATAATACAACAGCATAATAAATAAAGGGCAAAAAGGTAGGAACGTGAAAAGGTTGGTGGTGTCTGGCAGTTTCAAATGAAGCCGCAAAATCAGCAGCAAGTAAAGCGTCTCCTGCCATCGGTGCAAATGAACAGAGCAAAATTAAGCAGGTTTAACCAGGTTTTCTTCCTGGTTGTCATTCTCTTGTAACCACAGTGAAGCCTCTTAGCTACAACCCTGAGATCCCCCCCCTCAAAAAAAATAGTACTTTTTCAGTAGCTGTAAATCAGCTGGCTTGAAGAACACTAATTATTTGGGGGAGGGTTCTATGTTAAAAAGCCAACATTTCTGCCTCATTCTTTCACGTATAGCCAAGATTATTCTTTTCCATACACCCTCCCTCCTTCCCAGGCATGTCAAACCACTGAGATGCCTTTGGAAGGTAATAAGTGTTGCTTGGGAGTACTCCAGTGTTCTTCACCTTGATTTTCCTGTCCCCTTTCCTCTTTTTTTTTTTTGCAGCTGATTCACTTGGAGATCAAACCGGCCATCAGAAACCAGATTATCCGTGAGCTCCAGGTGCTTCATGAATGCAACTCCCCCTACATTGTTGGTTTCTATGGCGCATTCTACAGCGATGGGGAGATCAGCATCTGCATGGAGCACATGGTGAGGACCGGGTACTTGCTCCCCCCCCCAGATGGGACAGGGAGTTGGTTGAGAGCGAAGGGTTTCGTTGGAAATACTGTGCCAAACTTGGATGGCTGTATGTAATCTGCATGCCTGGGGGCACGGCAGATTTGCATATCTTGAATGATTAATTCAAGCAAGCATTAGTGTGTTTTCTTTAAGTCTTCTGCAGCTGGCTCCTTGACGCCTCCCCCTCTCCCTCCACTCCATACTCCTCACTCTTTCGTACCTTCTGCCACCCTGTCTTTGACTTCTTCACCCAGTCGCTTTCCTTGCTCCTGTTCAGGCTCTCCTTATCACCAGCTCTCAGCGTTCCCTTTCCCCATACCCTCCTTTTGTGTCTTTTGCCATGCTGATCTTTTAAAATATTTTAAATCCTATGGGCTGACTTTTTTTTAAAAAAAGGAAAAGAACTGGAAAAAAATACCTAGACCACAGAAGTTTACGTTGAAGTAACATTGTGTTAGTCATAGAATCAGAGAGTTGGAAGGGACCTCCAGGGTCATCTAGTCCAACCGCCTACACAGTGCAGGAAATTCACAAATACCTCCCCCCCCCAACACACACACCCAGTGACTGCTGCTCCACGCCCAGAAGATGACAAAAAACCGTCCAAGATCTCCAGGCAAACTAGCCTGGAGAAAAATGGCTTCCTGACCCCAAAGTGGCGATCGGCATTTCCCTGGGTGTGTAAAAAAGGACCACGAGAACTAAACACTGAGGCAACCCTTCCTGCCCTCCCTCTCATGATCTGCCTAAGTTCCATTAGACTCTCATTTCTTGTTATCCCAGCGTGCCACCTCTTTTCTTTCCTCGCAGTCCTCTAATGTGTCACTCTATCCCCTGTAATGACTACCAGTCTAACCTCCCTACATCTTCTTTGTCACACCTGCCTATAACCTATTTATATACTTGTTCTTGGGCTTGGTTACGCGACCGAGAGTGTGGCGCAATGTGCCCTAGATGCTGCTGTGCCAGGCCACCTCTTAAGCACCCGCCTGCCTGGGATTGGTGGCCCGTGTTGTGATAGGCCAGTGATGGTGAACCTTTTAGAGACCGAGTGCCCAAACTACGACCCAAAACCCACTTATTGATCGCAAAGTGCCAACACGGCAATTTAACCTGAATACTGAGGTTTTACTTTAGAAAAAAACAACTCATACATTAACTTAAGATGATCCAAACAAAGTAAGGAAAGCAATCCCAAATGCTGTTGTTTACTTAAAATTATTTGGCAGAGAATTTGACACTTTAATGATGGTCTGGGCCTGGCTGGGGCGATGGCACGCGTGCCCACAGAGAGGGCTCTGAGTGCCACCTCTGGCCCCCGTGCCGTAGGTTCGCCACCACTGTGATAGGCCCTAGTCCCAGCCCCTCAGGCTTCTTCACATGTATATATGGTTCATCAAATGTGATTTTGGGGGGGGACAAGGAATTATTTTCCTTTTACCTGCACTCTTAATGTTGCATCATCAATATCTCAAGCCTCAACGTAGCCATAAACTAGGATTTGTTTTGTAACGACTGAGATTTCGGACTCTCCCCTTCCTCCAGCGCTTATGTTAGCAACAGGTGCGTTATGAGTTCCTGTATCCGCTCCCCCAACACACACCTTTCTTGGGTTAATAGTAGCTTGTGTGGGGGACTCCAGTTGGGAGAACTGGCTGTGACTGGTGCAAATAAACTATCAGATGGACACGGACAAAGGATTGAAAAATGCTCCTCTCCCCCCCCCCCCCCCAGTTTTGGCTCCTGATCCAAATTGGTGTGCCCCAGCATCATTTATTTTTAAGCATCTGGAGATATGATTGTGGATCTCCAAGGTTTGTCTGCTTGCACCCTGAGATGGACTCACCTGCTTATGCCAACGCGGAAGGAATGTTTCTGTTAAAGAGCCAGAGGGGCCAGCTTAAACATCTCTGATTTGTTTGCTTATCCTGCCTTCCCATTTTAAAAACAAAGCAAAACTCCAAGTCATCTTGCATCTGCCAGCTGGAAGAGAGTAGGACAGTATTGCAGTGCAGTGAATGCATTAAAAGCAGCAGAAGCAAAATGGCTAGAGCAGAACTCAGTCGCTGTAGTGGTTAAAGTGATGGGTTAGGATCTGGCAGGCTTTTGTTCTGCTGCGAAGCTTGCTTGGTAATCTTTGTCTGCCTCATATACCTCGCAGGGCTGTTGTGAGGTTAAGGTAAGGAAGGGATGACCATCACTCTGAGGTCCTTGGAGTCAGGGTGGAATGCCAGTGTGCTAGATAGGATCACGGGAGAATAAAGCAGTGACCAACATCTCTGGGGTGCGTATTCCATGGACAGGGTGTCACTGCAGAGAAGTTCTGTCTGAGCACCGTTTGTCTGGCGGCAAGGGCAGCTGGAAAAGGGTCTTGGAATTGTCGGGGCAGGGCGGATTGATTTGGAGATGGTAGAACTTTTGGTTCTAGCCAAGAGGATCCATTGCAGATTTGTCAGTGAACAGATTTCTCTTCAAGACAAGTGTGTATGTAGTGCAGGAACTGGCAGGGTAGGGAATGTCTCTTCTAGCACCACCACCCCTTTTAGAATTTTTTTTTAGCCTGCCTCCCTTCTCTCCCCCCCCCCCCCCTTATGGGGAGATGCTGCCATCTGGTGACTTGTTAAGTCATGTTATAAGCAAGGCCCAGTGAATTCAGCAATGGGGTGGGTGGGGGGAGGAATGAAGCCATGGAAAATGTGTCATGCCAGCGATTGTCAAGTATAGTGATTCTCCTTAAGCATAGGGGAGAAAATCATGCCTAATATATGTAGCTGGGATCCGAACTAGCGGTAACTGACCAGGAGAGAGAATTTAGAGTTGTGGTAGATAACTCAATGAAGATGCTGACTCAGTGTGCAACTGCATTAAAAAAAAGCCAACGCTATGCTGGGGGTTATTAGGAAGGGGATTGAAAACAAATCGGCCAGCATCATAATGCCCCTGTACAGGGATCATTTAGTAGAAAAAGAGCTGCAGGAGCTCATTAGCATACCTAATAGACTGTTATAATAGCCCATTAGCATATGCCACGCCCCCTGACATCACCGGAAGTGATGTCAGAACGGGAAGCAAAAGGGGGGAGGCATCTTCAAAAGCCTCCCTTCCCCGGGTGGGCGGGGAGCAAAGAGAGAAGGGGTTTGAAGAGGAGGGGAGGATTTAAAAGATGCCACCTCCCCCTTTCTTGCTTCCCCAGCTGGCCTGCCAAGGCAGGATGGGGGGGGGGAAGCGAAGAGAGAAGGGGTTTAAACTTTAAACCCCTTCTCTCTGGAGTTGCGCCGCCCCATTATATTCTATGGCCCCAAATAAAATATAATGGGAAGCTGGGGGTGGGGCTTGTCCCGCTCCTGGACTGCTGGAGCAGTGCTCCAGCGCGCTCTGGCCCCAAATGACCCCTGCCCCTGTATAAATCTGGTGTGGCCTCTTTGGGAATCCTGTGTACAGTTCTGGTCACTGCTCAAAGATATTATAACATTGGGAAAGGTGCAGAAAAGGGCAACTAAAATGAATAAGGGGACGGAACATCTTCCCTATGTAGAAAGGTTAAAGAGATTAGGGTTCTTTAGCTTGCAGAAATGACAGTTGAGGGGTGACATGATAGAGGTTTACAAAATGATGCATGGGATAGAGAAAGTAGAGAAAGAAGTACTTTTCTCCCTTTCTCACAATACAAGAACTCGCGGGCATTCAATGAAATTGATGAGCAGTAGGTTTAGAACAGATAAAAGGATATACTTCTTCACCCAAAGGGTAGTTAACACGTGGAATTCACTGTCACAGGAAGTGGTGGCGGCCACAAGCATAGATAGCTTCAAGAGGGAATTGGATAAACATTATGGAGCAGAGGTCCATCAGTGGCTCTAAGGCACAAGGTATAGATTGGACATTATGTCTGGGGCAGTGATGTCCTGTATTCTTGGTCCTTGGGGGGCCACAGTGGGAGGGCTTCTGGAATTCTGGCCCCTGTGGTGGACCTCCTGATGACTCCAGGGTTTTGGCCACTGTGTGACATAGAGTGTTGGACTGGATGGATCCTCTTTCGTTCTTATGCATCAAAAGATGGAAACAGGAGAGTTTTTGTATTTATGCACAGCTGCACATACTGGGTAGGCAGAGCATCGGGCTTCTTCCTGGGAAGACTGTTCAAATCATAGCTTGGTCATGAGTCCAGGCTGTATTTTTTTTCATGGGTTTTTAAACTGCAGTCTTAATTCACCTTCAATGCACTTTACTGATCGTTTGCAAGAGGATTTTGCCATTTCGCACAGTAAAATCCAGTTGTGGGGTGCACTGAAAGTGGATTGAAAGCACATTTTCAGTGTGTGTGAAAGCACCCCAACATTAGTGAAATGCAACATCTTTCAAGCATTTTGAAATTATTTTAATTGATTTTTTAAACCAAAGTGTCTACTACCATCCTAGATTGGTCTGGGAGGGGGGGATAGACTGAAAAACAGAATGTTAAAATATTGATCTCGAAACCCCCAGGAATAACATCTTAACAAACAAAATAACCTCCTACAGGTGAATATCTAGAAAAATTCAGGTGGGTAGTTGTGTTGATCTGAAGCAGCAGAACAAAGTCCTGTGGTACCTTTCAGACCAACAAAGTTTTATTCAAAGTGTAAGCTTTCGTGTACAAAGCACACTTCTTCAGACAAACGGAGCAAAATCTCTTCAAAGGTTATCTACAGGGGGGGGGGCAGCTGTTAGGAGGGGCCACTCAGAGCCAAGAGGCAGATGCAGAGCTGAAATTGGATCAAGTGGCTGGTAAGTTCAATGGATAGCAGCAAATCAGCACACAAATACAAGAGTTAACAAAAGATGCGAGAAAGAAGCTAGAGTCCAGCAGTACCCCCCAAGCCAAACCAAGCTCAACCCTGTGTACCTGGGAGAACAGAGACTCAGCGTGTGCACACGTCTTCGCATACATCGGAACAGATTTCCCCAAATATTACATGCGTGTGGCGGTGGGGTTAGAGCTGATATAAGCCTCCTCTCCCCTTGTTGCCCTCACAGTCCCTCCCCCCGCCCCAACAACTGGCATTCAGAGATATACTGCCTCTGAACAGGGAGGCTGCATGTTGCCGCTTTGACTAATAGATCCTGGTTTCCACAACGCGGTATGCAAGGGTGACTTTGCTGTCACGGGGCAGTTCATCCTCACATAGGCTGTGTGATTTGAGGAGGAGCTGTCCATCCAAACCAGAAGTGGGCGTGTAATGGTGTCTCGCTGGCCTCGATCCCTTTCCCCAGTGTTCAGATGCCTGGCAGAGAGGGGTCATTGCCCTGATTCCATACAGGTCAATCAGAATAGTGAATTGTATGGAACAAACAGGGAGCTCTTTGTGTCCTCATCTGTCAGCTGGTCTTTTTTTCCCCCTTCCAAATTCAGGATGGAGGCTCCCTAGATCAGGTTTTGAAAGAAGCGAAAAGAATTCCAGAGGAAATCTTGGGGAAAGTCAGCATAGCGGTGAGTATGCTTCTGCCTTGTGTTGTATTAAAAATGTTTTTAAAACCCTCTCTGCTATGGCAAGAGAAAGGCCAAGTCTGCCAAAAGAGGGGAAAAAATAGGCACACCTCACTGAATTTTTGATATTGCATTGCCTCTTGCTTGTCTCGACATCCCACCAGTATGGTGGAAGAACCAGTACAGGAGCTGCGTTTACACTTGTTGTACAGACCACAGCTCTTTGGGATGGCATTGGGTGTTGGAAATGGTAGTACATTGCTTTGGTATGCAGAGCATCTTCCTGTGCTGAAGGGTAGTCTCAGAAACAACAGGTGCTTTGAATGTTTCAGAAGACCCTTTGGTTCCAGCAAAAAAAAAAACCGCCCCGACTTGCATTGAACCCCTGGGGCGGAGCCATCTTTCGGGCCACATTGTCTGCACACCATCATCTTGAAGGTGCTTCTCATATGAAACACCACTTTCCACATCCTTGAAAAACGGGGTGGTACCCCCAACTTTCTGCGGAGTTAGTACACAGACTGTGTCCAGTTTGGTGTAGTGGTTAAGTGCGCAGACTCTAATCTGGGAGAACTGGGTTTGATTCCCCACTCCTCCACTTGCACCTGCTGGATGACCTTGGGCAAGCCGTAGTTCTGACTAGAGCTGTCCTTGAAAAAGAGCAGTTTCTGTCAGAGCTCTCTCAGCCCCACCTACCTCACAGGGTGTCTGTTGTGGGGAGGGGAAGGGAAAGGAGTTTGTAAGCCGCTCTGAGACTCCTTTGGGTAGTGAAGGGCGGGGTATAAATCCAATCTCCTCTTCTTCCTGCTGCTCAGCTCATCTAACAGCCGTGCCTTCCTCTGATGGTGAGAGCCGGCAGAAAATCCCTCTTGTGCCATGTCTCAAGAAGGCACCGCCGTTAATTGAGCAGAGTGGCCTGACCCGTTGCCTTTCCTTTGAGAATAGGGAGGGAGCATTAGGGGCTTTAATGCAGAATGTCTTTGAAAAGAGAGGCATTCAGGGGTTTTTTCCCCCATTGGAAGTTACAAAGGTGCCTTGCACAATGTCCGGCCATTGGTCCGTCTAGTTCAGTCCTGGCTCCCTGGGCAGTGGCTGGCCAGGGTGTCGAGCAGAGGAAGGTCTTTCCTGATAGCCGAGAGCCTTTCAGCAGAGATGCAAACTGGAACTGGCTGTAGTGCTGAGCCACAGCCTTCCTTCCTTGAGACATGCAGGGCCCTCTTAGACGGCAGAGGAAATGCACCTGGGCCTCCTCATTGCCCACTTGACATTCCTTATGGCAAGATGACAAAATAGTCTTGGGGCCAGCTATTTCCGGCCTAGCCAGTATGGTTGGAGGAGAAAAGCAGGGCTGCTGAGGAGAAGCTGGAAATGCCACCCTCGGTTTGATGCAACCTCAGATTGGCCAACACTTAGAGAAGCTTGTGGTGCTTGAAAGGTCTTAGTCAGAAGCTTAGTCATTCAAGGTGCTTCTGTCCCCTCCTCTGTAAAGCGGCCGCTTTCCCAACCCAGGTCTTTCCCTGACTTCTCCCCCCCTCCCCCATCCTCACCGCATCTCTGTTTTCCCATCTGCAGGTTCTACGTGGATTGGCTTACTTGCGAGAGAAGCATCAGATCATGCATAGAGGTGAGAGAGTGGCCAGCATATGGGTCAGGGTTCTGCTTGTCGTGTTCCTAGGGAACCCATATTATGCACTAAACATGTATTAGGAAATGGCTTTGTGTCCATTTCCCTCTGCCTGGGGCCTCGTTTTTCCCTGCTGGAGAGGCCCACAATTTAAAACCCACTGTTCAGACGCCATCGAAAGCCCTGGAGAATAAAATGACCTCGTGGCCACTCCTGAAGGTTCCTGAGGACAGGGCTCTCCTCACCTCCTTAGGGAGCCCTTTTCACAGAATGTGAGCGACACGGGAAAAGGAACAGGCACTGCCTAAGTGGGGAAATGAGCAGTAGGTAGCAACCCAAAGACCATAGCGGGCACATGGGGGGGGCGGTCATTTATCCAGTCGTTTTAAATTGAAGTGTTTTTAACGGTGCCAAGCGCGTTGTCTTGAGCCGCAAGGAAAAGATGGGATGTAAATATTTTAAATAAACACAGTGTGTCTGACACAAGACGCTCAGCCCTGAACTGTGAGGCCTTCCAACCTGTTTCTTCATTGATATCCTGCCTCTTTTTCCTCAGAAAGCTAAAGGTGGCATTTAATTAACCAGAGATTTATATGACCACAACTGTTGCCTCCATCCCTATGTGTTAGTTTACAGCTAGCTAGCGCTCTATGGTATTGGATTGTTTTTAGATGGTTTTATCTACGTTATAATTTTTCTTATGTTTTATGCTTTGTAAGCCACCCTGAGCCTGCTTTGGTGGGGAGGACGGGGTATACATTGAATAAACAAATATAAATAAATAACTGGGGGAGGGGAGAGTTTCTTTCCTCCAGACACTGGCCAACTGAGAGACCACCTTCGCGTCAGTAAGGTGGCTGTATCGAGTGCTTGAACCTGTGAAGCAGGGACAGACCATGGGCCATGTAGACTGGATTTGTATCGTCCCTGAGTAGCAAAAGCTCTCCAGAGTCTTCAGGCATAAGTCTTTTCCAGCTCTGTTACCTGGGGTCCTGTAAATACAGGCACCAGGGGTAGAAGCCGGAACCTTTTAGATGCAAAGCGTGTGTGCTCGACCTCAGCTGTGACCCCCGTGCAACCTGGGAAGGGTCTTGATGTTTTGAAAGTCTTCTGTGCTTCTGAGACTTCGTCAGATGCATCCGTATTTTCCAGTGTTCCTCTTTATCCATGTGGACTAGGAACTTTGTGTTTTAAGTCCTGAGAGGGAAACTGTGTGTAAGTGAAATGAAGTATCAAAGACCTAGGCTCTCAGCTAATTCCTGCTTTCAATACCAAACTCTGCCCTTGGTGAATTCTTTGAATATGTACAGCACTCCGTGGAGCGCCCTGGTCGCTTGAAATGCTTCTTCTCATGTTGTGACATTTTTCTCATTTTCTGCTTGTTTGTTTGCTTGTTTTAAATCCACTTGCAGATGTCAAACCATCTAACATCTTGGTGAATTCCCGGGGAGAAATTAAACTCTGTGATTTTGGAGTCAGCGGTCAGCTCATCGACTCCATGGCAAATTCCTTTGTGGGCACTCGATCGTATATGTCCGTACGTTCTTTTTGCGCTCTTGTACATGATTTGCAATTTGGGAGTGGACGTTTCCTTCTCCAGTGTGCGCCTTTGCCCAATAGGTGACAGTTTGGGGGGGGGAGGTGATTTGATGAGGTGTTTGTCCTCCAGTTTGGTTCAGGGTGTTCTGTTTCCTTCAGCGCAGTTTCCGTTATCAGGAGCTTGCCTCTGCAAGCTTGAGCCAAAAGGGGCTTTTCAGTATCCTGCTTTAGCTACTGGCTCCTAATACTGGGAGAGGCTGTTTTTCTTATCTGCTGGGCTCTGCAGATAGTAGGCACTGCTGACCTGTAATTGTCACTTGCCTGGTCATTGGTAGCAATGAATCGTATCGAACTGGTGAAGCAGTGTGGCTTTTGTAAACTGGAGGGCCATGAATTTCTCTTGTAATGTTAAGCAGCCCTGTCCAACTTTGTCTTCAGATGTGTTCTGTGAAGCTGACCTAACTTGTTTCTTGTTTCGACTCCCTTGACAGCCTGAGCGCTTACAAGGCACTCACTATTCGGTCCAGTCTGACATATGGAGCATGGGCCTCTCCCTGGTGGAGCTGTCAATCGGGCGCTATCCCATCCCCCCGCCCGACGCCAAGGAACTGGAAGCGATATTCGGCCGGCCCGTGATCGATGGGGCGGAAGGGGAAACCCACAGCATCTCCCCACGGCCCAAAGGAAAAGATGGGATGTAAATATTTTAAATAAACACAGTGTGTCTGACACAAGACGCTCAGCCCTGAACTGTGAGGCCTTCCAACCTGTTTCTTCATTGATATCCTGCCTCTTTTTCCTCAGAAAGCTAAAGGTGGCATTTAATTAACCAGAGATTTATATGACCACAACTGTTGCCTCCATCCCTATGTGTTAGTTTACAGCTAGCTAGCGCTCTATGGTATTGGATTGTTTTTAGATGGTTTTATCTACGTTATAATTTTTCTTATGTTTTATGCTTTGTAAGCCACCCTGAGCCTGCTTTGGTGGGGAGGACGGGGTATACATTGAATAAACAAATATAAATAAATAACTGGGGGAGGGGAGAGTTTCTTTCCTCCAGACACTGGCCCACTGAGAGACCACCTTCGCGTCAGTAAGGTGGCTGTATCAAGTGCTTGAACCTGTGAAGCAGGGACAGACCATGGGCCATGTAGACTGGATTTGTATCGTCCCTGAGTAGCAAAAGCTCTCCAGAGTCTTCAGGCATAAGTCTTTTCCAGCTCTGTTACCTGGGGTCCTGTAAATACAGGCACCAGGGGTAGAAGCCGGAACCTTTTAGATGCAAAGCGTGTGTGCTCGACCTCAGCTGTGACCCCCGTGCAACCTGGGAAGGGTCTTGATGTTTTGAAAGTCTTCTGTGCTTCTGAGACTTCGTCAGATGCATCCGTATTTTCCAGTGTTCCTCTTTATCCATGTGGACTAGGAACTTTGTGTTTTAAGTCCTGAGAGGGAAACTGTGTGTAAGTGAAATGAAGTATCAAAGACCTAGGCTCTCAGCTAATTCCTGCTTTCAATACCAAACTCTGCCCTTGGTGAATTCTTTGAATATGTACAGCACTCCGTGGAGCGCCCTGGTCGCTTGAAATGCTTCTTCTCATGTTGTGACATTTTTCTCATTTTCTGCTTGTTTGTTTGCTTGTTTTAAATCCACTTGCAGATGTCAAACCATCTAACATCTTGGTGAATTCCCGGGGAGAAATTAAACTCTGTGATTTTGGAGTCAGCGGTCAGCTCATCGACTCCATGGCAAATTCCTTTGTGGGCACTCGATCGTATATGTCCGTACGTTCTTTTTGCGCTCTTGTACATGATTTGCAATTTGGGAGTGGACGTTTCCTTCTCCAGTGTGCGCCTTTGCCCAATAGGTGACAGTTTGGGGGGGGGAGGTGATTTGATGAGGTGTTTGTCCTCCAGTTTGGTTCAGGGTGTTCTGTTTCCTTCAGCGCAGTTTCCGTTATCAGGAGCTTGCCTCTGCAAGCTTGAGCCAAAAGGGGCTTTTCAGTATCCTGCTTTAGCTACTGGCTCCTAATACTGGGAGAGGCTGTTTTTCTTATCTGCTGGGCTCTGCAGATAGTAGGCACTGCTGACCTGTAATTGTCACTTGCCTGGTCATTGGTAGCAATGAATCGTATCGAACTGGTGAAGCAGTGTGGCTTTTGTAAACTGGAGGGCCATGAATTTCTCTTGTAATGTTAAGCAGCCCTGTCCAACTTTGTCTTCAGATGTGTTCTGTGAAGCTGACCTAACTTGTTTCTTGTTTCGACTCCCTTGACAGCCTGAGCGCTTACAAGGCACTCACTATTCGGTCCAGTCTGACATATGGAGCATGGGCCTCTCCCTGGTGGAGCTGTCAATCGGGCGCTATCCCATCCCCCCGCCCGACGCCAAGGAACTGGAAGCGATATTCGGCCGGCCCGTGATCGATGGGGCGGAAGGGGAAACCCACAGCATCTCCCCACGGCCCAGGCCGCCAGGACGTCCGATTAGTGGTAGGGGCTATATCACGAGCAGTGCTGGCAGTTTGGTTCCTGCCGTCTCATGAGCGTGTGCAGAGTGCCGTTCCCTTCTCGTCCATGTTTGCAGCCTGCCACCATACTATTTGGTTTTATATTTGAGCTTTTCCAGGCCAGATGACATGGCTTGAGTCTCGCCATCCCTTTCTTTAAAGAACTACGACACACCCAGGAAGCACGTGATACAGATCCACGTGCTCCAACCCCACTAGCAGTGGCACTTTATGTCTTCCGAACCCCTCGTGTCTGGGGAAGGCTGCTTGTGCCCGGAAGTAAGCATCACACCAGTGAGAACCGGTCCATGAGACCCAGCTCTCGTTTAATGGGAACTGTCCTGCCATTTAGCAGCCTCCACAGCTTTGGCTGGTCATTGGAGAGGCCTGTCACGCCTTCAGCCTCTCGAGCCCAAGGCAGGCCCTGCAGCCTTATAGAGCGGCTTGCCAGGGGCTCAGTTAATCACGTTTTCTCTGCCACCTTAAGAAGGAGAAGAGGTTGGATGGATACCCTGCCCTTCACTCGGAGTCTCAGAGCAGTTTACAATCTCCTTTCCCTTCCCCTCCCCACAACAGGCACCCTGTGAGGGAGGTGGGGCTGACAGAGCTCTGAGAGAACTGCAATTGAGAGAACAGCTCTGAGAGAACTTGTGACTGACCCAAGGCTGCATGTGGAGGAGTGGGGGAATCAAAACCCGGTTCTCCCAGGTTAGAGTCTGCACGCCTGACTACTACACCTAACTGGCCGTCAACTGAGACAGCAAGAGCAAAGTTACACCTCAGTATGTGTGTGTGACATAACAAAGATCTTTTATTTTATTTATTTATTGTCAGATTTATGCCCCGCCCTCCCAGCCGAGGCTGGCATGTTGTGATGGGAGTGTGTGCTGATGGGGGGGCCAACGAGCAGCGTGGTTCTCTTGGCCTTGCACCGCTCCTCCTGAGAGAGGACCTTCACCCAGCTTCTTTCTCCCAGCTGAATTCTGTTGGGGGTGTGTGTGTGCATGTTTGGTTGCTTGGAGTGAAGGGTCATTCCCATTTCACTGTTTTAGAAACTGGAGACGATCAAAACTTCCTCCGCATACTAGTTTAGGCTATAAGCAGTGTTCCCTCTAAGCCGAGTTAGTGTGAGCCAGCTCCCAGTTTTTTATCCTCCGGCTCACACATTTTTGTCTCAGCTCAGGAAGGATGGGGCTCCAGAGTAAACTAATTTATGCAGCAGCCAGATCACTCGCTCACAACTTTAATGCCAGCAGCTCACAAAGTAGAATTTTTGCTCACAAGATTCCACAGCTTAGAGGGAGCATTAGCTGTAAGTTAACTTATTTTTTATTTTAAAAACCTCCATCTGCAAACAGTGTTTCCTCTAAGCTGAGTTAGTGTGAGCTAGCTCACAATTTTTTAGCCTCCAGCTCACAGATTTTTGTCTTAGCTCAGGAAGGACGGCTTTAGAACAAACTAATTTATGCAGTAGCCAAATCGCTCACTCACAACTTTACTGCCAGTAGCTCACAAAGTAGAATTTTTGCTCACAAGACTCCACAGCTTAGAGGGAGCATTGCCTGCAACCACTGATCCTGCTTTTTGTTCCTCTTTACCAATGTAGGCCATGGGATGGACAGCCGGCCCGCAATGGCCATCTTTGAACTGCTGGACTACATAGTTAATGAGGTTGGTGACTTGCAGTTATCTTTTTTTTTCTGTTGTAGGTTTCTGCTTCATCGCTTCAAAAGAGTCTTGGGGGAGGGGGGGAGTTAGTGAGAAACCCAAGTAATTAGCCCTCGTGGCTCATACTTCTCTTCCTTGCTTGCCTATCTGGGCAAAACGCGCTTCAGAAATGAAACACCCCAGCCTAGGTTGATTCCTCCCCCCCCCCAATTTGAGCCAATCCCAGTTTGTTACATCCTGCGGTTGGAAAGAGACTGTCCAGTTCCTCTTGGAGCGAGTTGCTGTTTGTTATGTCTCGGATTGCCCTGCAGAAGAGGTGGTGTGGCGCATGCAGGAAGAACGAAGGTGCTGTCTCTGCCCTTCGTCTCATGATCTGAATCACTGCAAGGGAAAAGGGAGCAGAGGGAGGGGAAAGGCCGTTGTAGACGATCAGTTGAAACACCTGGGTGAAGAGAGGCATTCCTAGCCAGCATTCACGTTTCTTAGTGGAAGGAGTCTGGCAGAGGCCAGGAGGGGAAGAGTTCCAGTACCGGGGGGGGGGGGGGAGTAGAAGGATTGTAAAGGGGTGGCTCCAGCTAGCTCACTCTCGTCAGTTTTCAGAAGCCAAGCTAGTAGCCCAGCAATTGACAAAAGCCCTCAGCTCCTTCTGGCCACGCAGCTCCCTTTTCTAGTCTCTGTCGTCTCCCACCCCAGCATACAAACTGCACGGATGATCTTCAGTGCCTTCCCATTGACTTCTGCACTGTTGTTCTCCCCGAAGCTGAGGTTTCCAGGTATCCACACCACTTAACCCTTCACTTTCCCCCTCTTTATTTCCAGCCGCCTCCTAAGCTGCCGAATGGGGTTTTCACTCAAGACTTCCAAGAGTTTGTAAATAAATGGTAAGGATTTACTTTCCTGTCTCCAGCCAAATGTCAAATGGTCACAGGAGTTCCACTTCCCAGTCCTCATTCCCAGACTCGCAAATGTGCATTCCCTTGGTCATCTGGGGTCAATTGGGATTGTGTTGGAGAAGCCAAGCCAGGGGTGGTGGTGGTGGTATTTTTTCTTATTTCAAGCTGGGGGGGGAATTAACATAAGGTATATGTGAAGAAGCAGGTTAGCAAAACCTGTTTGTAGGTTAGCACTTATTTGCAACGCTGCTTGTTCTTCCGACCTTATAGGACTAGTGTTGGTGTGTGGGAGTGGGGGGGTGTTGTGGGGGGGACGCTGTGTGCTGCTGGGCGATGTGACACGAACAAAAAAGGGGGGGAGG